TCATCGTATTCTGACTGACGATAGGTGGCTATTGCCTTCTTTAGCGTCTACCATATGGCTATCGACACCATCTTTCTGTGTGCGCTCGAAGACATGGAGAAGCACGATGGTGAGTACATGCCAGACAAGCTTCGCAAGGTCTTTGGACTGTCCTCTCACTCCAAGAAAGGCTCGAGAGTCGATGAATTCTAAAACCTCTTTAATGCTTGATCAAGACTCATAAAGATGCTGTTGAAGACTGGTGACCCTTCAAGTGCCTTTTCGACTTCCTCTGTTCCAATCGAGAGTGCACACGCATGGTTTGTGAGTGGATCCTTTGGTTTCTTTGCAGTCAGCTTGGCAAGGCCATTGGCTTCCAGGAGCATCATCAGATCTTTGAACTCGGATGGTTCAACAGCAGCCACTTGGGTATTATGCTTGCAGACAGACAGATAGGCTTCCTGCACCTATTTTGAAACTCAATACCTTGCCAAAAGTGATGTCCTTGCTGTTTCGCATTGTGAGCATGGACAAGGTCAGCAAGACTAATTTTGGCTGCATCTGAAGTCCGCGAATCCTCACAATCGACTGAGATCCCAGTGCTGCATTGGTGGCTTGTAAGACGTGCTTGACAGTGACTTTTGGTGCAACATCAGTCTTGTTTTGGAACTCTGTCTCTGCGTGCTCAATGGCTTGTCTGTTGTGATACTAAATACCTACACACATCCAACGCTTTTCTCAAATCACCTGAATCTGCGATTTTACGTGCTGCCAATTCGACTGCCATTGGATGCATCACTGGGACATCATTCTGATCCAAAAATCCATGTGGTTTGAGTGTATTAAGTCGAGATTTGATGATGCTCGAGATTTCTTTGACAGAGTAAGGCTGAAAGACAAGAAAGATGGGTTCCAGATTCTTGGCTTCCAAACGAGGCAGAAAGCGAGTGGTAAAATCAATGGCATTCGCAATCCCAACCAAACACAGACGAGATCCAGGCTGCTTTGCCATTTCAAAGAGTTTGTACAAGACTTGCTGGTCCAAAGTTGACAGTTGGTCAATCTCATCCAGCACAACCACAAACATCTTGCGACTGTTTTGAAACAAGGTTTCCAATTGTCGTTGTGGATCGCCGTTGAGTTTGAGATCCTGACCAATTTTGACAAAAATGTGTTTGGGATCTTTGACTCCCATGCAGTTGATCGTCACTCGCTCTACTTTGAATTCCAACTATCATCAATACAGTTACCTCTTCCCATTCTTGTTCGAGTTTGTCCAGTGTTTCGTTCAAAAGTGCTGTTTTGCCAGTTCCAGGCACACCAGAAATGTAAAGTGACCCACCCGTTTGGTTCTTGACGTTCTCCAAGAAGGATTCAAGCACAGACCGTTCCTGCTCGCGTCCGACGAGTCTGGACGGTGTACTGCAACGTCTAAACAAAGATTTGGCTTCTTGAAGGAGATTGGCTTTCTTGGGTGTTGTCGGTTTAGAGTCACTTGCATCCTTTTTGAGTCTTTTGGATGGAGACTCTTGAGACTCATTCCCTGCAACAGATGGCTTTAGAGGCTTCTTTTGACTCTTAGGGGTCTCTTTTTTAATCGTCTTTTTGGATCTCAGTTGCATTCAAGGGAAAGATTCATCCGGACAGTGAAATTTCACCCACTTGCACAATTTCTACTGAACAAAGTGGTTGTTCAAACTGTGTTGGTACTTGTTCAATCTGTCTAAGTGTCTGTTCGCCATCTACAAGTTGTCCGATTGCCACGTACTTGTGGTCAAAGTAAGGCATTGGCTTCAGAGTGATCATAAAAGGCGCCTGGTTGGAGTTGGGGCCAGTGTTGACCATGGACACAATCCCTCTCTTGGAGTGTTTGACAATAAAATTCTCATCTGGTGCTGCCTCGTGGTCAAAAACAGCACTGCCCAAGGGAACTTCTACAATAAAAGGACCTACTTCCAGTCTGAATCCATCCGTTCTTGACAATGCGTTCTATCTTGGCTCCTTTGTACGATGCCACTTGTCCATACGTGACTTCTAGTCCCCTAACCAGATCCACAAATCTCTTGACAAGAATGGGACAGATGTCAGTAAACAGCTACTCTTAATCCATGTGCCTCAATAGAAATGGTGCCGATGGGAACGTTGTCAATCGCAAACTCCAAAAACACGTAATCACGCTATCATCAAACAAAAGACGTGTGATTGCAAGATCTTGGATGTGTCCTGAATACGCAGCTGTTCCATGTACTCGTTGACTTGTTTGGTCTTGCTCTCTCCGATGCTGTACTTTTTTGCTAGTAACTGCTTGAGTTCTTCGAGTTCCAAAAGCTTGTTGTTGGCTCTGATGGCAATGCCTTGGAGGTTGTATTGTGGATGCTCAGTCTTGTACTTGAGCTTCAGTGCTTCAAAGTCAAAGGGTGTGTACTCTGTCTCCACATAATCAAGTTTTGATGGGTTGTTGACCTTGGCTGTCTGGTATTAAGTAAGATACGTGTAGCAATCCACGTGCTAAGAGGAAATCTGGATGATTGGCACTGCCAATGATTGAAAACGAGTCAATATCCTTCTTGAGAGTGGTTTTGGGTGACACTGGCTTTGACACGAATGAGATGGGAGTGATGGTGGGTGCCATGTCAAGAATGACGTCAGTTTCTTTCTCTATCTCAAAATCAGATGGAGACTTTTGCACTTTTCAATGCCCAGCATCACAGAGGCACGCACAGAACTCGCAAGAGTGAGAGGAGCACATCCATCAGATCTCAAACCAGGACAGACACCAAGTATTCCACCGTTCTACGACCCACTCCACATTGTTGACTTGGGACTGCAGGTCTTGGATTCAAGACTCGAGCACACTGAGCGTCTCCAAATCATTGAACAAGTTGTTATTGCTGCAATCGAGTGTGGAAAACTAGAGTTAGCAAAGACACAGTTGCAGGTTTTGGAGTCGCAAATGCCAAAAGAATACTCAAGACTCAAGCGTTTGCAAGGTTTGTTGTTGGAAGCCACTGGTAATGTCAAGAAAGCACAAGCGATCTACGAAGAGATCCTTGCAGACAATCCAGGAAACGTCATGATCGCAAAGCGTTTGGCAATGTCCTTTTTGACTGAAAACAACAGACCAGAAGCCATTGCACATTTGGTGACTTATCTGGATACATTTATGCAGGATGCAGATGCTTGGACCACTCTGGCACAGCTGTATCTGGAAGAACGCATGTTCCAACAAGCCAAGTACTGCTACGAAGAACTGATGCTCTTGAAGCCAAAGCATCATCTGTACCAACTCAGATACGCTGATGTTGTTGCTTCAATGGGTCGGTTTGAGCTTGCTGTCAAATACTATTGTGCTGCTGTCGAATCTGTGTCAGAAAGTGTCCATGGCTGGTATGGCATTCGCTCTACCACAAGAGCACTCATCCAGGAAAAGAACAGAGAGCAAAGACACAAGGCAAGCGGCGTTTTACAAGAAGAATGCACGAATCTGGAGACTTACAGAGCCTTGAACAAACTGAGTCAAGAGAGACTAGAGGCTTTGTACAGCAAGGCACCAGCGCATCTGAAATCGCTTTTGAACTGATTCATTGAAAAATGTTTGAAAACATGTTCTTTTCCTTTTCGTGGTGTTGTTTGAGTTTCTGTTCCAAAGTCTTTCTTTCCTGCTGTACCTGCTTCCACTCTGGTGTATCTTCCTTCACCAAACGCTGGACTTGGTCAAAATCACGCTCTGCCAGATCTAGATCCCTGCCAAGCTTCAAAAACGACTGACCGCGTCTAAAGAGCGCTTTGATGTTGTTTGGATCTTGCTTGAGAATGTCTGTACACTGTTCAATCGCTCCTCTATACTCGCCTTGCTTCAACTGACACGCTGCTCTGTTCAATCTACAGGATTTGAGCAACTCTTCCAACATTGTGAGCTCAATCACATTGTCTTTTGGTACCAAGGATGGTTCTTGACTGACAATACCCTTCTTGGCATCTCTTTCTTTGTCCATCCTCTCTTTCTTGAGATCCAACACTGTGGCAGAGTTGTTGAGACTCTCGAGATAAATTAATGCTTGCTCGTATTTCATCTGAGCATCTCTGTATTTTCCTTCCTTGAACAACCGTCCGCCTTCGTCCTTGAGTTTTGGTGCTGCGAAATACTTTTCTGATGGCTCCATCTCCCAAACCTGCTTTTCAAATGTGTTGGGTGCTTGCACATCTATCAATTCAAACTCAAACTCAACCGGTGCGCCATAGACTGGCTCTAGAGCAGTCTGTAGATCCAGTTGTTCTTGAGACACGTTTGCACAGCATCCAGAGAAATTCAGTGGTGGTAATCCATTCAGAGCACGCTCTTTGTTGATCTTTTCTTGTCTCAAGACCATCTCTAATTGCACAAACCCCTAATCTCACTCCAAATACTTCGCAGTACTGCGGCATGCACAGAAATCGAGCACGTTCACCGACTTTCATCGATTTGACACAGATTTCAAAGGCTTTGACTGAAAAGTTGTATCCAATACGCAACTCAAACGGCTTTTCAGGATCGTGTTCTCGTGAGTTGGACACCAGTGTTCTCTCTGGCTTTTGATTTGGATCTATAGGCTCTTCTTTAGTCTCTGGTTCTGGAATGGGAGACTTTTTCTGTGAAATAGCTTCCAACATGTCCTTCATCTTCTCCATCTTGGACTTTTCATGGTGATGCTGACATCCAGGACTATGCTTATGCTCTCTCTTCTTGTCGCTCTTGATAATATACGCATGTGCTGTGAAATGCAACAATGCATTAGAGCCTCTCGTCCATACTATCTCCTTCTTGTCTTTCGGTGGAGACATCGGGAGCTTGACTATTCCTCCGTCTGGTGTGAGCTCTACGCTGTTGTTTTTCGCATCCGCAAGAGTCATGGAAAGAATGTTGGAGAACAATTTCTCATTCATCACCAAACTCTAAAACCATCATTCATCATCAGAAATGAAAATATCGGGGAATCTGTAATATTCAACATTGTAATGGTGTCAAAACTTTGGATCTCAACGCCTGTGTAGCGTAGTGGCAGCGCGTCGCTCTTGTAAAGCGAAGGTCGTCCGTTCAATCCGGGCCTCAGGCATTTTTTCTACTTTTTTCGTGTAGTCCCATTTTGTTTTCTGGTTGATCTCAAGTGTGTTGCATGCATTTAGAGATAAAGGTGTCATTTAGTGGTATCAGCGTAATGAGCGTACAGTCTGATCACCCATGACTAGTCTCCATCTTTGGCTGCAGATCAAATGGACAAGAGTTCCGATTTTGAACTTGGGACTCTTTGGCATGCAGATGCCTTATAGGACAGTTCAGATGTAACGTAGAACTAATGATTTATGCTATCAGTGTCGTTTCACTCGATTGCTTGTGATACTCTGACTTTTCTTGGATGGCAGTCTCGTCTTCAATTCTTGCCACAACGTCTGGAGGGAACACTCTCACAAGCGAATAGATTGCATGTCCTTTTCATCATAGCCCGACGCATACTTTGGTTGTTCTAGTATGCGAGATGACTGTCTTTCTGGCGAATCAAAGTATTCAGGTTTGATATCTGCTTTCTGGAGAGTGTATTTGACTGTTGATATGTTCTATCTGCTGCTTCCTCTGATTTCTCCAAAGAGAAACGTTGCGACAACAAGCAAATCACAATTGCTTTCAAGAACGTTGTGCCCATTGGCTGCACCAGACTGGAATTGACGTGGTCGCTATGTTCAGGATCATCGTTATAGGGAAAGGTGAGAATAGCATTGCGTTCAGTATTCTCAACAAACAGCTTCCACTGTCGATGGGTGAACAGGAAGGTGGGGCAGTTGAATGCGTACAGAGCGGATAGTGTTTGGACTCCTCTTGAACCGTGGTACCACGTATCGCTAGGACGAAGTGTCAGATGCGTCTTGGCTTCAGATCCAATCAAGTTCTGACCACTGGTGTTGAGAAAGTGCGGATCTGTCTTGCTGCGAAGATCGTACTGGTGTCTTGCCAGGATACCGCCCACAATGATTTTGGTTTCGGACCTGGGGCGAATACGTGCACGAAGACGAGCAGCAATAATTGAAACAAGCCAATTGATGCAAGATTGAATGTCGCTCTCTGGTGTGTTATCAGGAAGACTGCGAAATTCCTCCGTATCCAGAGGGATGTCACCATCAGCAACAACTTGATTGTAGCGTTGTTCCCAATCCACAGGTGCCTCCAGAAGAGCTGCAAGGCCACCAAGTGTTCCACCATTCTGAATGTTTCTGTATATGAATGGATTCAAGATCTGTGAGATATGTAAGATGCAGTTGGTGTTCTGATCAAAACAACTGGTGGGCTTTCTGCTGGCTTCAACGGTCGAGGTTCCAATTCCCAATCAGAAGCAAGTCCAGAAGGTGGTGTGATCTGATCATCCATGTACTTTTGTTTTGTGCAAGTCTTGCTACAGTAGGGACCTGTTCTTTGTCCTCTGAGTCCACTTCAAACTCTGGATCTGTTGCAGCATAGTATTCCAAGTATGTTCTGACACCAAGGACGTTTCCTAGAGACTGGACAATCTCCGCCATTCGTTTCTGTTGGCAAGAAAATCGCTCAACAAATCACCAGATGTCTTGTGCTTGGTTCTCAGTCAACAACACACCTTGATCTAAGAGATGATCTGGCATACACAAGAGACAAGATCTCACAATCGCTCAAGTGCAACAATCTACACAAGATGAATGAATCTTACTCAAGTATCTGTAACAACAATTGAAAATGCAAGCAACGAGATGACTCCTGAGTATGGATTATGGAATGCCAGTCCAATGAACTGTCGATGCGCTGGGGAACTATCTGAAGGCAGAAGTGGCAGTCACTATAGTTATCACTCACTGCCTCATCTACATGAATGTCATCTGAAGGATGCTGTTCAACGCGACACGCACTTTGATGCTTTCACAAACAGACGGTGTTGTCACACAGAGCAAGTCTGTGTCTGAGCTTCGCCAATTCTGGGAAGGCAGAACGTTGAAACCAGTGTCAATTCAAAAGGAAGAGAGCTCAATAGGTCTCAATCCTCAAAGTAGCGTGTGCAGTCAAGAGCGTCAACGTGAGTGGAACACAGATACATCAGATTGAGTTGCAATGCAAGTGCTGCAAGTCTATTATGATCATGCGAACTGCACATGAGTGCCATTCAAAACGCGGTGCGTGTCTTGACAACAGAAGATGGTTCAGGGCTGGAGTGGTTCCAAGACAAGACGAGAGAGTTTGTCAACATTGTCATATAAACGTTTATTGGAACGTTGACCATTCATCTGTTTGTGGAGGAGCAGCAACTGGTGTTGTGAAACTGCCAAAGCCATCTGACTTTGTGACACTTGGTGCAGTCTCAAAGTCACCCCATGGGTTGGGTTCAGCCAGTGCTGGTGTGCTGTGCAGAGATCCAAAGCTTGGTGTCTCTGTCTTCGTAAGAACTGGCTTTTCCGTTGGCCAAGATGTTTGCACTTGTGGTGCATTCCATGATGGCTGTGCTGGCTGAGATGGTTGCGCAGGTGTTGGCCAAGACGTAGGTGCTGCTTGGGTGGGCCAAGTTGTCTCAGCAGGAGTTTGGGTTGCTGGTTGGGAAGCAGGTGTCGATGGCCAGGATGATGCTTGTCCAAAGTCACCAAACGAAGATTTGCGTTCTGGCAGCTTTGCTTCTGTCTTTGGAGGAGAAAAGTCACCAAGGAGATCATGCTTTTGGCCAGCAGGTTCTGCCTTTGGTTGTTGCTGGGCAAACAGATCTACCTTTTGGCTCTGGGTAGGTTGTGCAAACAAATCTACCTTTTGGCTGTGAGCAGGCTGAGAAAACAGATCTAACTTCTGACTTTGAATGGGCTGGACAGGCTGAGAAAACGTTTGTTTTGGTGGAGATCCAAGGTTGCCCAAAAGATCTACTTTTTGATTTTGAGAAAACAGATCCACTTTCTGTGCTGGAGCAGGCTGAGAAAACAGATCTACTTTCTGTGCTGGAGCAGGCTGAGAAAACAGATCCACTTTCTGTGCTGGAGCAGGCTGAGAAAACAGATCCACTTTCTGTGCTGGAGCAGGCTGACCAAGACTCATGCCTGAAAAGGCTGGATTGAGGTTTGCAGTTGGTGTTCCAAAGTCCATGTCCAACAATCCACCAAGTGCACCAGAACTTGCTGGCTTGGCAGGAGGAAAGCCTTGGCTAGACTGAAAGTTGGCAAATCCACTACTAGATTGAGCAGGTTGAGTAGATGACTGAGCGACAGGTGTGCTTGGTTTGTTGAACAAGGACATGATATCGTTTTTGACATTCTTTTGTGGTGCTTCCTGGAATGCAGCAAACGTCTCTTGTTTTGATGGTTGCTGTGACTGTTGTCCAAAGGCAGCAAACAACTGCTCAGCTGGATTCTCTGCTAGTTTGACCTGTGGTGCTTGCTTTGGCATAGCAAGAGGCGCAGATGAGCCAGCAAGTGTGTCTGGATCAGGAATCGGTCCATTCATGGCATATTGCTTGCGTTCGTACTTTGCTCTGATCCACTGCTCAATGGTGTGTTCTGGAGGCTCTAGATCCTTGGCCCATGCATGTTCCCAGTACAGATTAGCCTTTTCATTTCCCCATCTCACCATATTCTAGTTTCAAGACCATTACTTCAATCTGTTCGGGTGTCCAAGTATCCAGATCTGCAGACTTGACTTTAGAGATATGTGTTCCCATTGAGCGATGAATGCCGCTGCAACGGATGCACATGAACACTCCCAAGTTCCACGACGCCCAACGAGGGTCCTTCTTGCGACAGTCCACACACTTGCGGTTCTCTGGTCTCATCATGAGCTGTTTGAGAATCTTGGCATGTTTCTCGTTCAGTGCTTTATCGCCTTGTCTCTCTGTGCGTGTTGACATCGACAAAGTGAGAGAAGAAATCAAGCCTTTTTAATGTGTAGTCGGAAATTACAGATATCTTCTTCTTTCCATCCCTGCTTGATCCACTCTTCCAAGATGAAATCTCTTGGATCTTTGACAATATCACTTGTATCTAACCCTGACTCTTGAAAGCGTATTCGTCGTTTGGCATCTTGAATTCTTTGGAGTGTTCTTTCTCTTTTGCGCTTGCTCTGTTTGAACACCGGGGGTTGTGTATTGGACGACTGTGGCAGTGTCTCTAATTGCTCAAGCATCATTGGAATCATGCGATTGAAGAGTGGTGACTTGGTAGATTTGACATGTGTAAACAGATCTGTCTCAGAGAGTCTAGATCGCATGAGTTCTTTGATTTCTCTTGCTCGATCAGAGACTGTATAGACAGAGAGGTTCAAGGACTGAACAAGACGTTCTAGGAAGATGGGATTGTCCTCGTTTGGGACTCCCAACCAGGCAATGTAAACAATGGCGACTGCCATCACTTGTGGTGTTCTTCCTTGGTCCATGATGGCTTGTTTTACCAACGGAGTGAGTGTTTGACAGTGATGACTGACAGTTTTGAGTTCTTGTTGGTCTTGTGTGAAAGCACGCATGGTTTGTGGTAGATACAGTTCAAAATTAGGCGCCACTACTGGGAGATGGTCTTTGATCTTCCATTTGAGCTCTGACATGGCTGTGTTGAACATTTGACGTGATACATTCGCAACCAACAGCAACTGATCAATGGTTCTGGGTATTCTATTGTCTTTGAGTACAAAGTAGAGGATACACACAACAATCGCACAAGTTCTGGGTCCATCTGATGTTCGTTCAAAAGTAGCAAGGACTGACAGGACTGATGCTGACAGTCTCTGTGGTAGCTGTAGTGCATGTATGATGCCCTCTACCAGTCTCTCGATGACATATGCCTGTCTCCTTGTCTCCACTACTTCATTGTAGACCAAGTACTGTTCTCTCAACACTTGTCCACATCCTGTACATATCAAATGACAATTCTCTGTTATTTTGTTTTGGTGTTGGCAAATCATTGGGAAAACACAAAAGCTTCCAACCCTCGCTCTTCATCCAGACCCACTTCAGAGTACAGCTGAGACAGGAAATGTACATGTACTCGATCATCCAGACTGACTAAAAGAACATTGGCTCGTCTGTCCATGATTGGTGTTGCACATATCTTGTTGCACTCCAAAGTCATCTGTGGT